CTGTACACAAAAGAACTAATCAACATTCAACCATTTTACTTATTTATTTTTTTATTCAACCATTTTAAGAGGTAGCATATGATCAAGAACCAATCATATTGAAGGGAATGGGAAAGTAAAGCCGCATTGAAGGCATCAGTGAAAAGCAAGGCTCTAGGAATTGACATGGCACCAATGGAAATTTTTCAAAAAGCTGATGAAACACTGGAATCCCTCGCTTCCCTATTTCATGAAATTCTAAAGACAACTACCCGGTCGACCAACTGGAAGAGATTCATATTTGTGGCCATTCCAAAGAAAGGTGACCAGAGGAGGATGAAAAATTATTCAAAAATATCATGAATGCCACATGCAAGTAAAATTTTGCTTAAGACAATTCAGCAATGTCTGCAGCAGTCTATCGTGAGGAAGTGGGCAGAAGTTCACGCTGGACAGAAGCGGGTGTGCCCAAGGATATCACTGCAGATGTCAGATGGGTTTGACTACAAGCAGAGAAGACCAGAAAGATATTTGTTTTTTATCTATAGACAGCTTTGAGAAGAATAGGAATGTGTTAGGCAGGGTTCTCTAGAAAAACAAAACCAGGACTCTTACGAATCTATACCTATATATAGCAGAAAGGAATACAACAGCAAATTAGTCCACACAGAATACAAACAGCAAATTAGAGCGCTCAGTCCAGGTCACTTTCACGGGACTGAAGGTCTTTCTAACTCACACGGCCCCTGGCCCAAGGCCAAGGAAGCAGACAGTGGGAAGTGGAATAGGCGAGGGCAGTGTAGTTTCACAAGGTAGCCATGCAAAATGGCAAGCGGTTGGCAGTGTGATGCTCGCTCACAGGCAGCAGGCCTGGCAGGGTGGGGCAGTGTCTCAGCACGGAGCAACACAGCACCGAATGCGGTCCACAGTCCGCAGTTCCTGGGTTGCCTTGGCCAGGTGGAGCAGAGCCCTGCATAGCCCACAGGCAGCACAGCCCACAGTTGAGGCAGAACAGCGAACTCAGGCGCTGGTCTGATCACCAGGGAGAGAGAGGGAAAAGCCAGCCTGAGAGAGCCATTTATCTCGGTCGCCCTCCAATCAAGCTGTGACCTGTTAAATCCTACCCACATGTTCCTACGGGAGCCTAGTTGGCACAAAAACCTATCACAAAGAATTACAGAAACCTGAATTGTGCCTATGTGGAGCTTGTACATGGATCTAGAGCCATTCAAACAGAACAATGGGATGCTGTGTGTTTTAAATCAGGAAAAGTCTGAGTCAGATTTTATCCTTTTACCATACTTACTCAATCAGTATGCTGAACAAATAATCAGATAAAGTAGCCCACATGAAGATGCGTGCAGCATCAGAACTGGAGGAAGGCTGATTAACAATTTGCAATATGCAGAAGGCACAACCTCACTTGCTGAAAACAAGGAGGACTTGAAGCACTTGTTGATGAAGGTCCTGAATTGTAGCTTTTCGTATAAATTACAATACAATGTAAAGAAAACAAAAATCCTGACAGCTGGACCAATAGGTAATAAGATAAATGGGGAGAAGAGTGAAGCTGGCAAGTATTTCTTGTTTGGATCCATGATCAATATTCATGGAAGCAGCAGTCAAGAGATCAAAGGACATATTGTGTTTGATAAATCTGCGCACAATACCTCGTTAGAATAATGGAAAGCAGGGAGGTTCCTCTGAGGACTAAGATGCACCTGACTCAAGCCAGGGTATTGCCAAACACCTCATTTGCATGTGAAAGTTGGACATTGAATAAGGAAGACCAGAGAAGACTAGATGCATTTGAACTATGGTCTTGGCAAAGAATATTGAAAGTACCAGGAACTGCCAAAAGAACAAATAGATCTGTCATGGAGGAAGTACAGTCAGAATGCTCCTTGGAAGTGATGGCGGTAAAACTTCATCTTCATACTTTGATGTGTTGTCAGGAGAGATCGGTCCTCCAAAATGGACATCATGCTTGGTAAAGTGGCAGGGCAGCAAAGAAGAAGAGAGCCCTTGATGGGGTGGATTGACACAAAGGCTGCAACAATGGGCTCAAACATCAGAACAATTATGAGGCTGGCACCGGACCAGCAGTGCTTTGTTCTGTTCTCCATAGAGTCTCTATGCATTGGAACTGACTCAGTGGCACCACACAACAACAAGGTCATAATGACAGAGCCAAAATATGTTCTAGATTTTCAGATACCGTACGTAAGGTTATTTCCACAATGTTATAAGAGCTCCCAATAAAACTATATATATATATAAGGGTTATTTCCACGGAGTTGTGTGACCTCTGGTTTGTAGAGGACTGAGGGCTGAGTTGAGCTTTCGGGTTGGGAAGCATCAACCCAGCAGGTGGTGCAGATGAGGACCAGGGGCCCAGAATATGTCCCTGCACTGATTGGCTCCCTTCCTATGGAGGCAAAAGGGCTCTCACTCCACTTGAGGTGGCCTGGTAAGGCAGAGTGAGGGAGGCATTCTTTCCTCAGGGAATCCAGCTGATGTCTGCGCAGCCCTGTGTAGGTGTAGAACCAGCCCCATCCAGTGTGCATTGCTGGGTGTGGCCTCTTTTGGGTGCCCTTGTCCCTGAAGCAATGTGAGATGGAATTAGGATGGAGCAGCAATATGTTTGCACCTAACGTCTTCTTGGCTTAAAATCTCCCTGCTCCCAGTATTTGTCAGGTAAATTTTCCATTAAAAAAAAATTCCATTTCTAATTTCCCCAAGACAATTAGTTAACTTCTCCCCAATCTATGCCTTCCCAACACACTTTCCAGAGCAGCAACACAGAGTACTTTTAAAAATAACCTTTTTATTGGGGGCTCGTACAACTCATTACAATCCATACATCCATCTACTCATTGTGTCAAGCACTTTTGTACATTTGTTTCCTTCATCATTCTCAAAACATTTGCTTTCTACTTGTATCAACTCATTTTTCCCCTCCCTTCCCGCCCTCCCTTCCTCAGGAACCCTTGATAAGTTATAAATTATTATTATTTTATCATGTCTTACACTGTCCAATGTCTCCCTTCACCCACTTTTCTGTTGTCCATTCCCCAGGGAGGAGCTTATATGTAGATCCTTGTAATCAGTTCCCCCTTTCTACCCCACCTTCCCTCCACCCTCCTGGTATCACCACTCTCACCAGTGGTCCTGAAGGGATCATCGGCCCTGGATTCCCTGTGCTTCCAGTTCCTACCTGTACCAGTGTCCATCCAACACAGAGCACTTTAAATCTTACCATTGACTCTTGTTTATTTGTCTCGTCTCTCTACTAGACTGTGAGATTTGCAAGGGCAAGAAATGGATCTTGCTGATCTTTAGATCCAGCACCTGATGCTCAGGGAAGGAGATAGTGGTAGTGGAGGGGATATCTTTATGTCAAAGAAAGAGAAATAAGAGAAATGAAAATGACTCTGGTCTGCAGGTTCTGAAGGTAATCAGGAAATGTTGTGTGACATTGAGTTGATTTTGACCCATCATGATCTTTTATTTTAATATAGACCAATGCTGTCCAATAAAAATACATGAGCCACCCAGATAATCTAAAAATTTCTAGTAACTGCATTAAAAATACAAATAAACAGATGAAATAGCATTTAATTTAACCCAACCAATACAAAAGAATATTTCCATTTGTAATCACAATCATGAAAACATAGTAGGAAATTATCAGTGAGTTTACATTCTTTTCAACTGATTTTTAATTAAGTCTTTGCAATACACTGTGCCTTGTACTCCTTACAGCGTGTTCTGTTCGGCCAGTCATTTTCAAGTTTCAGTTTTCTTGGATTAGATAGCAAATGTATAAAGGAAGAGAAGAGAATATAATCATGAGTTACATATGAGTTGAAATTGTTTTCTTTATGTAAGCTTGTTTTTAGGAAATAAGAGTTTTACAAATTACTTTCTTCCTCTTTGTTTTCTAGTTAATGTTCTATTTGAAGACACTTAATTTTACAACCCATAATGGAGATAGAATCGCCATAGATGGAAATGGAGATGTGACTGGATACTATGATATTCTAAATTGGCAATTAAATTATAATGGTGAGATTGACTTTGTGAAGATTGGAGAATATATATTCACAGAATCTAAGTTTGAACTGGTGATCAAAGAGAATGCAACAATATTTTGGAACACTGAATCATCAGAGGTTTGTTACTCCAGCATCTTATTTTGTTTATGTACATACAGAATTCATTTTTTCTCATTTATGGTCAGGAGTTATGGAAT